ATCATGCATATTCATGGGGTACAGATCTGACTATCACCACCTGTGCCCAAAATGTGATGATCAGATCAATACTATCAGCATGCCCATTACCACAAATTGAAATTATTCCCCGTCTGCCCCACCCCTACCTCTCCCCAACATCTCCCCCCTCTTTCTCTCCACCCCCGGCAACCCTAGGTCTGTTCTCTCCCTCTGCAAGTCAAACACACCACTGTGGTCTTTCTTTCCTTCTTCCTTTCTTAGCTCCCACTTATGAGTGAGGACATGCAGTAATTATCTCTCTGTGCCTGGCATATTTCACTTAACATAATTTTCTCCAAGCTCATCCATGCTGCTGTGAATGGCAGAATTTCATTCTTTTTTATGGCTGAGTAGTATTCCAGTGTGTATATACACCACAATTTCCTTATCCAGTCATCCTTCAATGGACATTTAGGTTGGTTCCATATCTTGACTATTGCAAATAGGACTGCGATGAACATGGGAGTGCAGGTGTCCCTTCAAACTGATGATTTCCATTCCTTTGGGTATGTACCCAGAAGTGGGATTGCTGAGTCGTATGGAAGATCTATCTATAGTTGTTTGAGAAACCTCCATACTGTTTTCCATAGTGGTTATACTAACTTACAGTCCAACCAACAGTGTAGGAGAATTCTCCTCTCTCCACATCCTTGCCAGCATTTGTTATTCTCAGTCTTTTTGATTATAGCCATTCTAACTGGAGTGAAATGATATCTCAGTGTGGTCTTTATTTGCATTTCCCTGATGATTAGTGATGTAGGGCATTTTTTTAAGTACCTGTTGGCCATTTGTATGTCTTCCTTCAAAAAATGTCTATTCAGCTCCTTTGCCCATTTTTTATTTGGGTTATTTGTTTTTTTTTACTGTATAGTTGTTTGAGTTCTTTGTATATTCTTGATATTAATCTCTTGTCAGACATATTGTTTGCAAATATTTTCTCCCATTCTGTAGGCTGCCATTTCACTTTGTTGATTTTTTCCTTTGCTGTGCAGAAGATTTTCAGCTTGATATAATCCTATTTATTTTTTCTTTTGTTGCTTGTACTTTTGGGCTCTTACTCATAAAGTCTTTGCCAGTCCTACTTCCTGAAGTGTTTCCCCTATGTTTTCCATGAGTAGTTTTATAGTTTCAGGTCTTATACTTAGGTCTTTCATCCATTTGGAGTTGATTCTGGTATATGGTGAGAGGTGCAGGTCTAGGTTCATTCTTCTGAATATCTAATTTTCCTAGTACCATTTATTGAAGAGGCAGTCTTCACCTGAACGAATGTTCTTGTTGCCTTTGTCAAAGATCAGTTGGCTGTAAGTATGTAGGTTGATTTCTGGGTTCTCTATTCTGATCCATAGATCCAAGTATCTATTTTTATGCCAATACCATGCTGTTTTGGTTACTATAGCTTTGTAGTATAATTTGAAGTCAGGTAGTATTATGTCCCAGATTGCTCAGGACTGCTTTGGCTATTCATGGTATTTTGTTGTATCATATGAATGTTAGGATTGTTTTTTCTATGTCCATGAAGAATGTCATTGGTATTTTGATGGGGATTGCACTGACTCTGTAGATCACTTTGGGTGGTATGGACATTTTCACTATGTTGATTCTTCCAACTCAAGAGCATGGAATGTCTTTCCATCTTTTTGTGTTTAATTTCTTTCAGTAGTGATTTGTAGTTCTCCTTGTAGAGATCTTTCACCTACTTATGTAAACTGATTGCTAGGTACTTTATTTATTTATTTTTTGGTGACTATTGCAAATGGGCTTACTTTCTTGATTTCTCTGTTAGCTTGTTATTGGAGAACATAAATGCAACTGACTTTTAGGCATTGACTTTATATGCTGCAACATTACTGAAATTATTAATCAGTTCTAGGAGTTTTTTGGTAGTGTCTAGATTTTTCTGTATATAGGATCATGTCATCTGCAAACAGGGACAGTTTGACTTCATCTTTTCCAATCTGGATGCCCTTTATTTCTTTCTCTTGCCTAATTGCTGTGGTTAGTACGTCAATACTATGTTAAATAGGAGTGGTGATAATGGGCATCCTTGTCTTGTTCCTGTGTGTAAGGGTAAAAAGCCTTCAGATTTTTCCCATTCAGGATGATACTGGCAGTACGTTTGTCATAAATGGCTTTTATTGTGTTGAGATATTTCCCTTCCATACTTAATTTGCTAAGAGTCTTTATCATGAAGTGATGTTGAATTTGGTTAAATACTTTTCTGCATCTATTGAGGTAATCATATGGTTTTTGTCCTTGATTTTCTTTATGTGGTGTATCACATTTATTGACTTGCATACATTGAAGTCCTTTGACATCCTGGCCTCTGCCGTGCCCATTCTGAGGTAGGTGACAACTAGTTATAGTAGGTTGATGATTAAACATAAGTTAGACCCTGTTCCACTTCTTAGACAACAGACATAAAGCCATCTAAACAGAACTTCTGCAGAAGGTTCTAACAACGGCCACTCCAGAATTTCTCTACAGGGGTTCTTGGGGGTCAGCCTGGGGGCTAGAGGACTTATCTTGAAGCTACCTTTGAGTGCCCAGTTTTCACTTAATTTGTGTATTTATTTGGGGTGGCTGGAGAGGTGAAGCATGAGCAGGGAGGGGGCTAATATCTTGTCACTGATGCTGGCCTGTGAAGACTGTGATGCTAACAGTAAAAGCTAAGCCAGTGGTGGCCCACCACCCAGCCAGCCATCAGGCAGTGGCTGTGAAAGCTGCTCCTGGGCTAGAATCCTGCCTCTACATCTTACTAACTGTCTAACACTTTTACCCTCTTTTCTGCCCCAGTTTCTTCACTGGGAAAATAGAAACAATAATCTATTGTAAAATAGATACAATAATCTTACCTATTTCATGGTGTCATTACAAGGAAACATAACACGTGGAAAGTGCTTAGAGTGGTGTCTAGCATATGCAAGTGCTTATTAGCAAATGCTAGCTTTTATTTTATTTTTTTTCATTAATCATTCAAAAACATTTTTCAAGTGTCTACCAAGTGCAGGTATTAAACTGCACACGAGGAAGAAGCAAACGAAGTTATATTGGGTGAAGGCCAGCTGGATCCATCAGCACATCTGAAGCCACACTCCTTGACACTGCCTTCTGCAGCTCAGCATGAGGCCCACGTGGGTGATATTACCTCGACTGCAGGACAAGGGCTCATCAACATCCCCTTCCACTTGGTACATGAAGGGAATTCCCCGTTTATCTCCATGAATCCCCTCAAAGTTTTCACAGAGCTGAAGGAACTAGAAAGAATCCCATAAAAGCCATTCAGAGAAATCTGGATTCTTCTAACACTGGAAGGCTTCAGCGGGCTCCCAGAGAACATGAAGGAACTTGGAAAGGTCTACACAGGCCAAGAAGTAATGTTTTCCTTCTCTGAGCCTCTACAGCACTACATGGCTGCAACATAGCGATGTGTCATAGCACTGACCTGCACCATCTTAGGGACAGGGACACATCTCTTCTCTATGACCTTTGTATCCTCAGTGTCCAGCACCTAGAAAGTGTCCTGCAAATGTTGACTGGATTCATTGAGAGGCAATCAAATCCTAGACCTCGGGGCTGCGTCTCCTGTCTGCAGGGACTGGGACAGGACCACTGACACACTAAGCATATTTTAACATGAACAAACAAAACATGCAGTGCTAGCACTTGTGCCCCGCAAAACTGCTGGTTTGGCTTTATTAGTGGCCAAGGAGAAAAACGGGGCATGTTGAGTTAGGACATCTTATATTATACGTAAGCTCCACCTCCCTTTTCTTTTTATAAAGCACACTGCAGATTTGCACTGTCCAATATGGTGACCACTAGTCTCATTTACTATTTAAATTAAAAATAATTAAAATAAAGTAAAAAAAAATTCAGGTCCTCATTTGTACCGGTCACATTCCAAGTGCTTAGCAGCCTCATGTGGCCAGTGGCTACTCTACTGGACAGCACAGACATAGAGCATTTCTACAATCACAGAAAATTCTGTTGGGGAGCACTGCTATAGAATCTATACTGTTGTACTAAGAAATGTTAACTAACTCCGGCAAATAAAATTTAACTGCACTTTCACAATCAATAAAGCTAATATGTTGCTCCCTTGGAATACCCAAACCTTCTAAGTTTGTTTTTTCATAAGTATTAAGACACGATGAGCTAGATGTTCTCCAGGCCTAGTCTCACGATGCTGTTGTTGAATTTAAGAATCTTTCCACACAGCATTCATTCTGTTAGGAAACTATGGTGGGCCATCAGTACCTGTATGCACTCATGTATGACCAGAGCAGTTTAATGTGGGGATGGATGGCCTGAGCCCTGGGAGAAGGAGGCTCATCAATCCTGCACGCCCCATGTCTCAGCATCCTTACGGAACATTAATGAGGTTGGGCTCCATTTGAAAGCTGCCCAAGGCATTATAGATTGGCAACATTCGGTTTCACAGGCACTGGGAATTTCTGAGATATAATTCTAGCTCTTTTGCTGATGAGTATTGTGATATGGGGACTACCATTTAACTTTGAGTTTCAGTCTCCTGTCCTTAAAATGGGGCTATTACTGATCTACCTAACCCAGTGTCCAGAGGATTAATGAGTTAATGTTTGCAGAGAACCGTGAGCTCCTTGCACTAAGGCATGCTGTGCATCATTATTTCTATTCATTCTCATGTCACAGCTGGGAAACATTAGGACTATTATGCTTACTCCTCCTAAAATGTGTTTCCTGTCTCAACATTTTAACATTACCTATGTTACCCAGACCTTAAATCTAAAGGTAAAACAGGGCCCATAGCAAGTGTGTATTGACATATGGGAGTATTTAAGTAGTTTTTCCTTTCTTTAGTAGGAGCATAACAGCAGCTCTCCTAGCAGGATGAAGGCAGTAATTGTGCTATAAATTCTCACTGCGTGCGCCTGGTGGTCAATCTTATCAGACGCAGAAAGAAAACTCTATGACAGCGCAATGACACTGTTAACACTTACATGCAATGATGTTCCCGTATCTGTTCTTCATTCTGTTCTCGTCTTTCTTAGCGGAGTCCCACGGTGCAGACTGCCCTTCGAAGAAGCTCTGGAAGGGGGAGAAAAGAAACAGTACGAATTACAGTTTGGTGCAGTAAACAAAGGGACCTTAAGAATGGGGGATATTCTTAAAGAAGGTAGAACAAGAATCAAGAAGGGAAGAATGTCCACAGGAATGAGATAAGGGATTAGTAAACTATTTTATATCTTTAATATTTCACTTAGCTTTTTCTAAACTTTGTTTTCCTTTAGTTAATATCATACAAACACAGGGATGGGGGCTGAAGAGTGAACCCACAATTTATCTGTGCAACCCAGTAAAATGATTGAGTGTTCACCCCTATCTTACCTGAATATTTAATATAGAAAAAAATAAAATTTCTCTTGATTTCTTAATTATATTACCATTTTTCAATATCCTCCTAAGAGATATAAATACATCTTTTTCCTCCCTACTCACTAACTGAAAGGTTATTTTTGGTTAAAACTGTGCAAGTAGTAAGCTAGGACTTTATGACTTCAAGGCTAAAATCCTGTAATAAACTCTGCCAGAGTATTCTTTTCATTTGTAATGGAGCTTACATGCCCATTTATTTAAGGATTTGGCATTATTACACCCGGGGTCTTTAATCTTAATGTTATTAGATTTTTTTTTTCTGTTCAAGTTATAATGAAAATATCCTCTATCAGTGGACAAGTGAAAAGAAAAAAAAAAATCTGGGACTTTCGTTTCCTCTTTAGTCCACATTGCATTTCACCTTTATGTGGTCAGCTCTAGGAGGAGGTTTGGGAAGCAGGACGGTAGCAGGAAGGATTTAGAAAAGTGGTTTCCTGTCTTTGCCACAGCTACCCTTACACTTGTCACCAGCTGGGAAGGGGGAGGACGAGGGAAGGCAGAAGAAACAAATGTAGAGCAGATGAACGAAAGCACCGTTCTGAAACGCTGTAGGGCCAGAGAGCGTGGCAGCAGGAGCTCGTGTCCTGAACACGCCCTGGACGGCTTTCCGGTTCTCCTTCCTCCCCGAACCTCTATCCCAGCTGTGGTGTTTGGCCAGCTTTGCCATTTCCACTACGCACCAGTATTTCGTGATTAGTCTGTGGTGCAACAGAACGTGTTTATTCCTTTTTATGGGTCCTGTTCTCCCTCATTAGAAAGCTGCTGCTTAGTACTGCTGCGGTAGGATGCACGTGCTCACAGACCCCTTGGGGTGCCTGTGGCTCACCTGCCCACTGCACGGCTCCAACCACGGAACAGACACTGCTGGGCACGTTCTGTTGTTTCTACATCTGTCTCCACCACCAGGCTGTGGACTCCCCGAGAGCGAGGACTGAGTGTTCATCATTTCTGTCTATCCGGGGTCTACACTTCTTGGTAGGAATCCAGTACAGTCATGTGTGGCTTAATGATGGGATACATTCTGAGAAATCTATCATCAGGTGATTTCATTGTTGTGCAAACATCATAGAGTGTATTTACACAAGCCTGGATGGTACAGCCTACTACACACCTGGCTATGTGGAAGAGCCCTCATAATCTTAGGGGACCCCCACAGTATATGTGTCTGTCATTGACCAAAACATTGTTATGCCACGAATGCAATTATTGAATGAATGAATGAATGACTGCAGTGTTTGGTTACAATATGTTTTGGTTTTGATCTCAAAATAAAACTTTATTTCTGCTGCTTACATGTGTGAAGGGTTCTAAGACGTGGGAAACCTGCCTATGCACAGCTTGTAGACTTCACACTGCCATAGTTTGTAAAGTCCGTGCCTTTTCTGTGACCTCTTGTATTGATACTTCTGTTACCCTACAGCTCAGTTTTCATCAGAGAGTGGCGGGAAAGAGAGCCCAATCCCAGCTCTGTCCCACCCTCACGCTTCGGATCTTGTCCTCAGGACATCCACGCAACCACACAGCAGGGGCAGACACCATTTACAGTACATAAGAGCAAAAGGATAGCACTACACACATAAGAGTTAAGAGTTTTAAATTGTCTGTTTTTTGTTTTTTGTTTTTGTCTTTTTCCGTGTCAGGCAATGGATCGCAACCCTCAGTGTTGCCCCCGCACCGGACCGGGGACCGGCAACGGGATCGCAACCCTCGGTGTTGCACCCGCACCTCGCTCAGCCAGTGAGCGGGAACCGGTCTGTATGTGGGATCCGAACCCTCGGGCGGGAGCGCCGCCGCGCTTCCCAAGCGGCGCACTGTAGCAGTGCGCCACCGGGCCGGCCCCTAAATTGTCTGTTTTAACTTAAGGTCCCTTAGTCGTGATTACAGTTGACACCTTATTGTCATAATAGTTTTTACATTATATTTGTCATTTTGAAAAAACATGGGAACAGACCCAGGATCACATGTACTATATATGAACAGGTATATCAATAGGGTCACATGATATATTACTAGCTGAAGGGTAAAATACTGCATGATAGAGGACAAACACAAATAAAAACATTTTTTGGTTACTAATAAATTTAATCAATAAAAATACTAGAAGTAAAAACCACTAGTTAATTCCATCTAGAACAAAAACATTATATAATCAGGGGATTTATTCAAATATGTAACTTCTATTCTGCTATATAAATATGCATTTAAAAATAGCTTCAAGAATTTTAAAGTCAGATATTCTTTTTCTGAATAGTGTCTTTGTTACTCTATGAATGACAATTATTTTACAGTTGAGTAATAACTATTATTTGACTTCCAACAATTTAATT